ATCTATCTATCTATCTATCTATCTATCTATCTATCTATCTATCTATCATCTACCCATGTATGCTTCTACCATATATCTATATCTCTATTTCTCTGCTTGTCTGCCTGCTTCTATGTATCTATGTATCTATCTTCTGTCTATCTATCTATCTATCTATCTATCTATCTATCTATCTATCTATACATTTATCATCTATTGTGTATCTCTCTGCCTTCCATCTACCATTTAGATTCTTTGTTTAAAACTTCTCTGTTTCGAGATGCTAAATGGATAATTGTTCCAAATAGTGGGAAGAACAAAAAATCCCATTGTTTTTGAGACAAACTCCATCAGTTTGGACACTGGTCATTATGCTAAGTGACAAGGAGACAATGACTCCTGACAACTGGAAAGAGTTCATGAAATAGTAGAACTACAGCCTACTCTTTATTTTCATGGGTTTCATATTTTCATGTTCAACCAACCAGGAATAAAAAGCATCTGGAAAATAATTTGGTATGTAGTAAATATGTGCAAACACATTTTTTTGTCATTTTCACCTAAATCATATCTACATTACATTTGGACTGCATTGGGTTTTTTTTAAGGAATAATGGAATTACATAAAAGATATGCAATGGCATTTATAAACTATAGTTTAATACCATACTGCTTTATACAAAGGGATTTAACTACTGTAAATTGGGTATTTGTGAGGGAGGACTCTGAACCAGTTCCTCATAACTACTAAGGCACTGCGGTGATTTTAGTGTTTTAAAGATACATCTTAGTTAAATCAAATACCTTATTAAGTAAGAGAGATGAATACAGATGTTACTGTATGATACTTTTAGTCTATCGACTGTTAGAGTGCATGTATAAGAGTAGTTAAATTCAACACATAAATGGTTCTGGGTTTGATTCCCAGGACTGGAAACTAAATAAATGAACACAAACAAAAGAAATATTTGAAGCTAAGACAGGTGCTTATTTTCAGCAGACTAGTTATCTGAACATCGCAGAAACTTAAACAACAGTTCTTAGCCATGCTTAAATGACCAAGGGACACTTGATCCTGTAATTCTGGCCTGAGTCCCTATAACTAGGCCCTTCACTCTGAATTCTTTCAATGTTAGGGCACAGTCTTTAAGGAAATGGAAGCTCATGGCTTGAGCAATTGAACAAACTCCACTCACTTAGCTTTTTCATGCAGTCACGCAGCCTGGTTTCCAAACTGAGGACCCGTTGGTGCAGTTCTTCATAGTCATAGGCACCGATTTCCTCCTGAATCCCAGTGAGGACTGAGGAAAGATTCCGAATTTCCTCTTTAAACTGCGTGATGAGCTTTGCATCTGTTTTGTACTGCTCCAACACAGGGATCAGGGGCAGTAGCTCGTCCATTTTCTCTTTCAGCTCCTGTGGAAAGCAGTAGAATGTTTTCAAGAGGCATTTATAACAGAAAAAAAAAAACATCTGTTTGTTGCATATGACATGTAATTGAGCTCACTGAAAGACCTTCAGAGTTCTTCATTTTTTTGTTGTTGTTGTTGATTTTTTTTTTTTTGGTTGATGTCAGGTAGGTTTTGATAATGCAAGTGGCCATGTGATCCTTGGTAAGAAATTTGCCTAGCTCAGCTTGTTAACACAGCAACCTCTTTTTAAGAAGTTACATGCTTCTATATGAAATAAACTGATTCTTATCATAGTTAGGAAAACCTTCTTATCATAGCAATCCGGGTCTTTGTATTGTCTTACTTTCTGTTTGTTTTTATAAAGTAAACAATGTATCATCTAGTTAGGAAACAGAGACATAATCCTTTCTTTTCTCCAATGATGTATTGAATGGTGGTAATGGAAAGAGAGCAAACATCCTATGGGAAGATAGTGAAAATGAATTATTCAACTACTGACTATCCATGCCATAGAACTACATAAAGGACAATTTTCAATTCTAGATCAGCTTTCTTTTTGAGCTTAAGACTGTTTCTGGCCATGGCCTTGTACTCCTTTGCCTTTTATTTGTGCTCAGGTGTTCTGCATCCTTTGAAATATCTATCCTAAGACAACTTCATTAGACAATAAGCTCAACTACATGATAAATCATATAAAACTTCAGAACGATTGAGGAGATATATGCTGCTGTTTCCATTTTGAATTATTAGCCACACTCTGTCTCCATTTGTTTCATAGCATAGTTAATTTAGGTGACATTACAGAAGGCAGAATTGCTTACCCACCCAGGCAGTGAATTAACTCCTTAAGGGAACAAGGTGCGTGTCTTGGAGCAGCTACAGAGAACTGTTCAATACTTAAACACTGATTTTTGTCAAGCAAAGAAGCAGTATATGTTATCAGTCAATGTTCTCCATTCCTAGTCGTCACAGGACTGGGCCACAACTGCATCATCATGGGCAACTTCTGCCCTTGTCACCCATACTTCTTTCCCTTTACTTGGGAGTTGTGGACAACAAAGGTATTGCAGGAGTTTGACTCAACCGTGAATTTCCTGCAGATGATATATATAATCTACTGAAGGAGTTCCAAATTTAGGACCATTTGAGAATAACCCATAGGTGCTGTCAGAAGCCATACTGTGTAATTATTTAAGGAGCTAAAAATCACATTTTTAAATTACATTTAGAAAATGTTATTACTATAAATACATTCGAGTAGCAGAAACTCCTGTTGTTGCTCTAATTAATGGGTTTGTTTTTCTTGTAGAGGGATTTTTATATATTCTATAAATCTTGAAATCTTTGAGTCTGTCTACATGTACACATTGAATGGGAAGTAAAGAATCTTAGTAATGAGAAAGACTCATAACTATTGCAGTCAAAAGGCAGAACTGCAGATTGTTGCTCATTTCAGGGCTCATCTTGAAAGAAGCCTATTAGTTTAAGCATCTTTCAGTATCCCTAAAGGGAGACACAATTGTTTCATTAGAATTTTAATGATAACCGTTTTGCTCATACCATTTGCTGCAAATTATAATAACAGTCACAATGAAAGGTTTTCATTCTACCAGTGGGTGTATTCAGAGAAACAATCTGATGTCAAAGTTTTGAAAGTTTCTTTTCTTTGATGAATTACAAATTTTTTTCAACCTTTTCAAAATTCAATTTTGAAACTTCGGACTTTTATTAGAAGGCCCTGATAAATATGTAAAAATATACTATCACATTCTAGTTTACTTTCAAATATGTAGATCTGGTAATAACCAGAATATCTTGCCAAAAACAGTTTGCCTCACTATGATGGTTAACATAGCTTTCCTCCTGAAAGACCATATAAGGAAAAGTTGACAGTGTTTATCATCAGATGAAAAATTTGTGGCAGAAGAGAGTTTTTTTATAGAGTAATTTTCAACTTCAACTTGTTTTGAGAGTGTTCTACTACTAGTATATGTTTTCTCTGTACCTAGAGGGAAATGTGATGTATGATGTCACTCCATGAAGGAATGACTTCCACAAGCATGTGTTGAAACTCTGATTATTACTCTGATTTGGGTGCGGGGCGGGGCGGGGAGATGAACTCATGAGGTTGGGACTGTGGGCATGTGTATTGGTGTGCATTTTGGCATATTATATGTTTCTATGTGTATGTGTGTGTAAGTATGTGGATATGTTTGGGTGTGCATGTTTGTGACTGTGACTCTCTCTCTCTCTCTGTGTGTGTGTATGTGTGTGTATCTTTGTGAGGGCCTGATAGACATTGATGTCAAATGTCTTCCTCAATCATCCCATGCTTATGTTTTTATTTCCTCTCTGTGGACCCGGGAGCTCACCTACTACGTTAAACCAGCACACAAGCTTCAAGATATGTCTGCTGTTGCTTCCCAATGCTGAGGATACAGGTGTGCATTCCCCAACCTTTTCATGGATGCCAGGGATGTGAAATCAAGTCCTATTCTCGTACTGTAAGTAATCAACTAACTACTCCAACTCTGCCGTCCCCCATACTCTAATTTTAATTTGGAGAATTAGTTCATCAGTTCAAGAAACTAACTAAGGTTTATTGATATGAATCTTCAGTGAGATGCTAGAAAATCTGTTCATAGTTTGCATATTACTTCATCTGCTAGGGATAAAACAGCAAAACAATGCTTGTCTCACAGGACTGGTGTGATGATTAAAGCAATAAATATATTAAAGTGCTCCAAACTTTGCTTTGAATATATATGTTCAGACAAAATGATTTTTGATATGATTACTGGTATTGAGATTCTGACATTTCCAACACATTCTTTGATTACGTAAACTGTGAAAAATCAAAAAACACAATTAGGTGGTACTTTCTGAAAATTCAGTTTTCTTATTGACATTATAGCTTTTGTTAAGCAAAATAAAAATCTATACACTAGGACGATTTTTTTTTTTGTTCAGGGGGTGTTCTCTTAACTTTATTTCTTTGTTTTCTGCATCTCCATCCCCAGTTCTGCTGACCAAGAGATGTTCGTATGGTTCCTTGGTTCGCCATGTCTTTCGTTCTTTGTATCCTGAAATGCAGCATGTCTTCTTGTTGCTGTCCTGTCTGGAATGATTTCTCTCTTCCACTTAGTATTTACCACCTTCTACTTTGATGACAACACAGCTCGCAGTTCACATTGTTGCATGATCATCTATCCTCCAATTCTGAGCCTTGAAAGTGGACACTGAAACTCTGTGTATTTCTAGATCCTCTCTGGAATTTAATCTCTCAGAGAGGAAGTCATAGCAGCATGTTTTCTTAAACACTGCAGTGACATTTCATTTGTATTTTAATAAACAAAGCTTGCCTGAGGATCAGAAAAGTAAAAGAGCCGGTCATTGGCTGTTACATCTACCTCAGGCTGAAATGACGATCCTGCCTCTAGGAATCTCAGAATGAGACTGAGAGCTGTCTCCTCCTGTTTTATAATTTTATAGTTCAGGGATTAAGGACATGCACCACTACAGCCTGGCTACTATGGTAAACTACTTTGACTCATGGAAGTAAAGGTGTCTGTCATTGTGTCTACTAGGATTCAAGGTGTTTGTCATTGCTGTTTGGTCTGTAAGGCTGGCCAGTGTGACTGTTTTACTTTTTGATCCTCAGGCAAACATTATTTGTTAAAATTACAAATGCAGTACTACTACAGAACACTGTTAAATTTCCTAATTCTTCAGCAGATCCTTGTGGACCAAAGAATAGCTCTTCTCTTTGTACTCTTAAATGGTGCTGATGCCTTGTTTGAGTAAAGTCTGTTTCCTCTTATTTGTCTTTCAAGGTAACAGCCTGAGTTTCATTCCTCCAAGAAGGGCCTGGCCCTGCCTCAAAGAGTATATGTGCTCAATGAATTCTGGTTGACATGGATTTTTTACTCTCAATCCTTTTTTCCCTCTGTTTATCATTTCCCCATAGTTTTCTGTTCATCCAACTCAACGTTTTATTTCCTATAATCTTCAAGTGCATTGTGTCTCCTAGGACTTGCTCTAACTTGTTACTCCTACTTCCGGATTTAAGTCTCTCTTTAGTTCAAATTCCATAAATCAACCATGTTAACTTTAGCTCTTGTCAATTTCCTCAACTTTTGTATCCTCATTTTCTTCTTCTGAAACTGATTATGTTTTGTTGTCTGTCATCTGTACCTCTGTTCTTAGTTTCCAGAGGCTACAAAGAAAGTTCCAAAGCATGCTGATTTCTATCACATTAAAATGTTCCTGGTAAGGATCCTGCTTGTGACTAACTGTGTCTCCAAAATGCTCAAAACCCTTGACCACTAGCTTAAATTCAAGTCATTCCTTTTACACTAGGATTGAACTTTACTGTCTAATTGACAGCGGGTGAAAAGATGCTACATATGAAGAATCTTAATGGTTTTTTAAGACAGATAAATTATTTTAATAGAGGCTCAAGTGTCATTATCAGACCAAGAAACTTTTTAAATAAGTGACTTTGTTGTGTATCTTTAATAAAGACTTCACAGCATGCTCAACACATTTTTTCCCATTTCTAGTTTCCAGACAATTTGCATTAAACCACTTGCAATCTCGAAAAAGGACCTTGTTTATATAAACTTAAAAAACTATTCTTTTTAAGATCTGTCGGGGACTGGAGAGATGGCTCAGAGATTAAGAACACTAGCTGCTCTTCTGGAGGTCCTGTGTTCAATTTCCAGCAACCACATGATGTCTCACACCGTCTGTAATGAGATCTGGTGTCCTCCTCTACCTAGGTGCAGGCAAAACACTGTATACATAATAAGCAAACAAACACAAACAAACAAACAAACAAATAAATAAATAAATCTTTTTTTAAAAAAAATCTTTTATCGGGCTGGAGAGATGCCTCAGAGGTTAGAAGCACTGGCTGCTCTTCCAGAGGTCCTGCATTCAATTCTTAGCAACCACATGGTGGCTCACAATCATCTATAATGAGATCTGGTGCCCTCTTCTGGTGTGCACGTCTACATGCAGGCAGAACACTATACATAATAAATAAATGTATTTTTTAAAAAAAAATCCTTTTATTATTGCTTCCTTTAATAATTTACATCCTTCATAGTTTTCATTTCAATAGATCATAGACTCATTTGAAAGAGTTTTGGTGATTTAATTATTGATTTTCCTGAAGATATCCCTTTGTCCTAGATTGTAAAGCACATGTAAATACACCCAGAAACTCCACATACCTCAGGGTGGGGGCACTTTTTTAAAAAAAAAATAGCAGTTTTCTATGTGTTTCTGATTACTAATGGCCACTTTTTACTGACAAGACAGTTTACTCCCCAGTGAGACCTTAACTTTGTACACATGGGCCAAGACATAGTTATTTTCAGCTGAGTGGCATGCCAACTGTCTCTTGCACTGAATTGACAAGATCTCAGGACTCACACCTACCTGAAAGTGCTTGGTCATTAGTGTCTTGCGATCATCTTCAATTTGCCGAAACTTGGCCTTCAGCCCTTTCATTTGAGTTTCCATTTTTAAGACATACTGAAAATCTCTCTGGGTTCTCAAGTTTAAGACTTCTATAGATTGGGACATATTCTGCACCTGTCAAATGAAGTCATTGGTTTTATATTAGTCTCTGTCTCTGGATACATGCAATCTCTACTAATGTATCAAAATGTTATTAACATGAGGAAAAGAAGTGCCAAATCTATAAATGCATGTCTGCCCGTCACATTTTCAAGATTACTTACATTCAAATAATTCAGCCAAAGAAAATTACACTTATACATTTTATAAAAAATGGACATGTATCTTTAGAAATTACCAAAAAAGCAAGAAGATAGTAGATTTAGAAAAAAAAATTAAAATTGGTTCTATTCCAAGGCTTCAGAAGGTTATAATACCCCAAGGTGATCCATGTTGAGATAAAATGTGTCTGTAAATGCTGTTTCTTACCTCTGAAATGTCAGGAGTAATTAGCAACAGTGTACGGTAGTAACAAGTCCAACAGAGTTAGAGTTCAATCATTTTTAGGCAAAAGAACAAGGTGGAGATTAAAAGAAGACTTCATATAAAAAATGAACAAAATTTATAGAAGAAATCACTTGGCAGAGAGAAAGACTGGGTACACTCATTCTCCACCACTCCATTCTACCAACCCAGCAGGTGCAGAACATCCTCAAACTGTCTAAAGCAGGTCTATTGTGTGTTAGAATACTAGCATATATTCCAGGGTGGAGCTTTAAAATGCAAAGGACACACACACAATGCATGAACTATTTTGTAGAACTAAGCATCACAGAATATGTGTAAGAAATCCTATACAGGTGCAAATGAGCCCAAAATGCAAATGACTCCACAAAGCCCAGGGTGTGTAGCATAAAAGCCGGTATCCTTTGTTCGGTGAGACACATAGCTACTGAATTCCCCCTCTTCATGCTAACCCAAGTCACTTCCTTTCTTGAAAACATTTCTCTTCCTAACAAACTATGCTCTGCCACTGCTGTATCTCTGGGTCTCTTCTCAGTTCTTTATTCTTAAACACAGGAGTCTGGATTCCCTCCAGATTAGCTCATTGAACCCGATAACATCTCATGCTGATTTCAGTGCAGTAACATTGTTATGGAAGTTTTAAAGTACTCTGATCGTGACACTGAGCTGGCCAGGACAGTGCTGGCGGTGTTGGAACACCTTCTAAGTTGCATAGCTTATGTTTGAGGGACTTGGGAAAAGGCAACAACACAAAGTGCCTCACAGATAGGCAGAAACACATGTTAAGCTGGTGGCACTGGCCCAGGTTCATTGAGCCCCAGGCTATCTAGAAGTAGGAAATAGGTGACCTAGAAAGAGTGCGGAAATGAAAGAAAAGCTGCTTTAATTTTTGTCGTAGCAAAAACCTGAAAACAAAGGGGAAGCCTCTAATAGAGGGAAGCATTCAAATGAAGAATCATCTAAGTATAAATTATTCTAAAGATTAAGATGGATCTCTATTCGTCTGGTACTTCAGAACTGTCTTCAGAGCACAGCTTTGCCTCACCGAGGAGCTTGTCAGAAATCAGCACTCCAGAACTACCCAAAAGACTCTCAGTTAGCATTTATCAAGTATTTATCAAGATTCCCTAGTGATTTCTACAGCTGACTTTTAAATCGTGAGATGCACTGGTCACCTAGGCAGGGTTTTCCTAAGAGATAAATGCAATATGGGTACAGAATTCAATCCTTTGTCATAAATCAAATACAGTCACACATGCAAAGATGATATAATATATTAAGAAAAAATCACAAAGAAATGTAATGGAGAAATTAGAAAATAATTAGGTGTTCATATTAAATTTCTGAAAGAGGAAAGACCTCTGGGCAAACATGTATGTATATGATGTATATATAAATCTATTTTGATTAAATGGTATTTTTGTTTTCATAAGTTATTGCATCAAAGAATGAGCACAAAAAGGTGATAGAATTGCAGTTATTGCTTTGTTTTAAAATGTGAATGTGTTTTCATTTATTTTTTAAGTAAATATGTATTAGTTAGAAATGAACAAAAAGCTAGTTTCATTGAAAAAAATAGTGAATTACAAATGGGTGATTTGTTCAGAGGTAGACTTTTCCATCAGGTAAAATTACAAAACTTATTGCACATACCAGTTAGCTGAAAAGAGACCCTAGCTGATACATGCCTCACAACTGTCATCCTAAAAACGCCAATGGGCTCCGCTGCCCTGACTTGCCTCAGGTCTTACCTCTTGTCAGACAAGTCAATTTTCTTTCCTCCTTCTCCTCTTTTGTCTTGATCCTTAGTTCTCCCCTATGTACATCCTGTCTGCTTTAGGCATGTCACCGTCTGGCTTACATTAAATATCATTTTGCAATGTGTGCTTGGACAATGTCAGCAAAGGGCCCTTGGTCTGCGGTCCTCATCAGAGGCTGTCTTACATCTTTTACTTTCAAGATGTTACACAGAACCAGACACAGAAGAAATGCTCAATAAGTATTTCCTGAATAAAAATATCTTGGGTTTCTAATAGTATAATGGTATTTAGGATCTTACTAATTCGGGGAGAGTTTTTCTCTCCCTATAACTGCCAGACACAGCAGTATACTGCTACAGATATTTCTTAATTTCAAATTATTATTATATTCAGAAAGCTTCATATAAAACTTTTTAGTGCAGTACAAAATTAGAGATGACATTGAACTCATGGAAACTTCATCATGGATAAATGCATTGCTTTCAAAGTAATTTTCTAACCTCATTTAGAGTTCAGCATGAATAAAGAAAAGCATTTGCATTAAAGAAACTGGATACTTATTTAAATATGTAACAGTCTGTGAAGGTACCCGTCGTTAGCATGGCTGATATTCTCCTAAGGGTTTTCTACACCTGACCATATTCCACAGTTAGGAGATTATGTGCAAGAGGAAATATTCTGAATATAATTAGAATAGTACCCCTTATTTTACATTTTACTCAAACTTCACATTTAAATTTTCAACTTAATTTGTGTTATGGGAAAATGAAATGAGGAAATTTCTGTTGAAACTTGGTTGGGATCATCTATATTGTACAAACTTGAATAATTGTGGGACTATATCTGGTGTATGGTGTAGCATTACAGGTGTCTAAATGGACAGTATTTGATTCTGTGTTGCCTTTAGTGTTTCCTAGGAAGAACTTCCTCGTATTGATAGAGCATCATTTCAGCAAGCCTCCTGATGAAACAGAACATGGACTCTCCATTAAGTGACTCATAGAAAGTAGACCTGTCAAATGTATATCTTTTTATACTCTGCTTCTCTCTGAAGCCATTCTGTAGTTCAACATTTTATATTTGCTTGGAATTCAGATATGTTTTGAACACCAGATGGCATCTAAAAAGGTTTGATTTTTAGATGATAGCATTATTTTGATATAGTCTGGAAACATAAGAGGTAGGGCCTAGCTGGAGGATGATATGTTTCTAGATGTATATCATCAAGAGCTGTATCATGTCTATAATGTTTCAATGTCTTCTCTCCCTGATTTCTATCTGCTAATTCACTCCACTGCATTGCTCTGTTCATGACGTTTTGCCTTATCACAGCTAGGGAACAACAGACCTAAGCAACAGTGAAATAACCCCCTAAAACCATGAGTCAAAATAATTTCTTTCTCTTATAAGTTTTTTTTCTAGATATTTGCAACAACTATGAATTTCTACCTAACATACTTCTAAAGTGTTTGGCAAAGTCATTGTTTCCCATCTCTGATAATCCTTTTTAAAAGGATTTTGAACTGATTGTTTTTTGTGAATAAAATGTATGAGATCTTTATGAATGAACATAAATAAATGAATTTTACTCCAAGTTACTCTGATGGCTTTGTAAACAAACAAACAAACAAATCTCATGACTCAATATGTTTGTCTAGCTTTGGTCTAACAAAAAGAACGGCAGTTTCCTCACTGTGGGACTTTACAGGAAGTATGGGGTTATACTGCTTTTGAAATCTTCAAGGTGAAGTACTATGTATAGTGTCCTTGAATTGCTTTAATTGGTGAGAATATTGTCCACATCCCAGTATGAAATCATGTTCTAGGAGATATTGACCTTGGCAATGCAGAACACCTGTAGTAATACCCTAAAACTGTGTAACTAACACTGAGATTTTTTTAGGCCAACAAATTTGTTTCTGGTACATTCGGTCCCAGGCTATTAAATTTGCTGTATTTTTCAAATATTCAGTGACGTTTATTTGTTTATGTATCAGACAGTGATAGCATCTTTTAATAAGTGCTGAGACTACTAGTGATGTGCTGGACGACATAAAAACCATGTGGAAGCAAACTGATACATTTCTACTGGTTATTGGGTAAGGCACATTGAAAGAGTCAGAGAGGAAAAGCTTATTTTTATATTAGTTTAAGAAATAAACCATGTCTTTTGTAAGGATTGAATGGATATAAAGAACTTAAGAAACTATACATCTAAACAAAAATCAAAAAAATCCAAATAATCTAATTTAAAATGGGACAAATATTTGAACAGAGAATTCTAAACAGAAGAATACCAAATGCCCAAGATACACTTAAAGAAATGTTCAACTTCCTTAGCCGTCAGGGAACTGCAAGTCTAAACAACTCTGAGATTCCATCTTATACATGTCAGAATAGCTAAGATCAAAAACACAAATGATAGTGTATGCTATTAAGAACATGGAGTAAAAGGAGCACTCCCCTACTGCTAGTGGGAGTGAAGCTTGTATAGTATAGCCACTCTGAAAATCAATCTGGTTGTTTCACAGAAAATCGGGAATTGATCTACCTCAAGACCCAGCTATACCACGGTTGAGCATGTCCCCAAATGATGCTCAATCATTTCACAAGGACACTTGCTCAACTATGTTCACAGAAGCATTATTCGCAATAGCCAGAACCTGGAAACAGCCTAGATGCCTCTCAACTGAAGAGTGGCTAAAGAAAATGTGGTACATTTGCACAATAGATTACTATTCAGCTGTTAAAAATAATGACATCATGAAATTTGCAGGTAAATGGAGAGAAGAAGAAAAAAAATCTTCCTGAGTGAATTAACACAGACTCAGAAAGAGAAACATGGTATTTACTCACACCATGCTCGCAGACCCAGAGAAGCTAAGTAACAAGGAAGGCACAAGGTGGATCTCTTGGGGATGGAGAAATAAAAAAAAAAGATTTCATGGGTAGACTAGGATAAGGTGGAAATGAAAGCTTGAGGAATTGGGTTGGGGTGGATAATGGGAGAATCTACTGAAAGAGATGACTGGAAAGGAGGGCCATTAGGGATTCAGGTAAAAATCTGGTGCAAAGGTGCTATAGGAAGTCCTACAGTTAGTATTTATCTGCCCACTGGGGCGTGGCCTCTTATGCAGATGTAGAGCATACACCAGGTCTCTTTTCCGGCTGCAGGGTTCAGTTTCTGGGTTTCTGATCTCCATTCAAGCAGAGAATTCTGATTTGTGAGTCTACCCCTAAAAATAACTCTGTTTCTCAGTTCTGAGCTAGTGTGGGATTTCTTTTAAGAATTCTTCTTCACAAAGGAAACTTCCCAGAAGCTACAAGAATCATCACAGCTAAGACTTCTAACAATAGTGGATGCGTATTCTGAAATGGTCATCTCCTTTGACCTTCCTGGACTTTTAGTGGAGGAATTGGGAGGCTGAGCCAGCCTTACAACCTTTGACCTTCTGTCTGTCCTGCCTATGGGTGGAGATTGTGGGAGTGGTCAAAGACAAGTCCAGCCTCAGACCCACACCATCTAAGACAAGCCCTCTCTTGACACTGCTTGAGGGCAAGGACCCAGAGGCTGGATGTCCCAGAGACCTAAGGACAGAGCCAAATGCTATTGGAGAAAAAAGTCAACATATTGATGCCTGATGATTTTTCTGCTATACTCACAGAGTGGTGAAAAACCCATTTGTCATGAGAGACCTTCTGATGGAAACAGATGCAGAGCTCCACAGCTAAGCATTGGCTTAGCTTGGGTAATATTGCTGAAGGGAGGGAGTAGGATTGAACAACGTTGTGGGTCAAGGACATTACAAGGGAACACACAGAAACAACCAGTGGGAGCTTACAGAGACTGAATTCACAGCCAGGGAGCCTGAGTGGGAATAACTTAGCTCCCCTACATATGTGTGACAGTTGTGTAGCTTGGTTTACTTGTGGGACACCTAGTAGTGGGAGTTAGGGGCTATCCCCAATGCTTTGGCTGGCTTTTGGGATCCTTTCCCTCATACTCGGTTGCCTTTTTCTGCCTTATCAAAAGAGGAGGAGCTTATTCCTACTGCAACTTGATTTGTAATGTTTTGTTGACACCAATGGGAGGCCCTCCCTTTTCTGAACATAAACAGAGGAGGAGTGGATGGGGCATACGTTAGGCAAGAGAATGGAAGGAAAGGGGGAAGGAAAACTCCTGTTGGAATGTAAAATAAATGTGTACATTTAACTAATAAAAAATAATCATAAAGCAAAAACATTAAAAATGGAAACAATAATTCCATTCCATCTCTTACAGGCATTTGTGTTCCAAGATATAGAATGATCTACTTCCCAGCGTTCACATTTTATTGAATTTTTAAGTGGCTCTTGAAGAAATAATGTGTGTGGTTTTGCTTATGTAATGCTGTACTGATTGATACTAACACAATATGAAGTTATACTATCTAACAAAATCTTGTGCATTTTATGTAGAAGTAAAATAACTGGGCAGAATGTTGGTAATCTGAGTAGAAATACAATTTTATGAAAGAGGAAAAAAATTATTTAAAATATTAAACCATCGTCTACCAAAATTAATTTCCCTGGTAACTATACTGTATATTTGGATTCTTAAAAAAGATAATCAATACTAGAAATCAATACCACTAAAGTAATCATAATATGCCTATAATAATTTCTAACAGTCAGAGATTTTAATGAAAATGGCACCTACTCTTGTTGGGGGCAGGGAGAATGGAATCTTACCATAAAAGGAGGCTTGACAAAAGAGACATGATAATGATAGCTCCAAGAAGAGGGAAAAGAGAAACAGACTAAGTTTTATATAAAAGCAGGAAAGCCATCTTTTTAAAATCTTGTTTATCAAAGAATTTATAAATGATGCTCCCAGAGGAAACTTTATGACAGATAGAAGGAAGCTAGGGTAGCTTGTCTTGAGATCGTGAATGTTTGTTTATATTGTCAAGCTAAGTGCTTACATTTTTTCCAGCTATCTCAATCTCATGTGAGTACTTCTTATTTAGTGTCTGGGGTGTGTGTGTAATCACGAAAATGATACGACACAGAGTGAAGTGGAGAACAAGGTGTCCTCTATAGCACGCACTTTTTAATCCATCTCTTTCTTTCCGTGATACTTAAAATTCAAACATGTTGTCATCCTTGCCTCGCTCTGACCACCCCAGCTGTCCTCCTGTATTCAAGAACCCTGCACGGTGCAAGTCTGAATGGAGATGGTTGAAAGAAGCATTCATTGGCTTTCCCCCTCCTACGTACACATAAACAACCTTTCATGAGCTGACTCTCATCTGTAAAAGGAAACAAATCAAGGGCATTCTGCATTTGATTGTTATGGATCCAGTTTAAGTAAATTATGGAGAGAATGCCATTGAGTGGAACTGAAGAGCTTAATGTTCAAAGGAATGGTTTAGAAAATGAAGATAAACACTTGGAATTATTCATTATCTGTCCAGATAGCTTGCATTTTTCATGCCATTATTTTAACTTCCTAGCAAGATGGTTAATAACAGTCTAATGTATGAGCTCAAAGAGATTTGTGTGGGTCTTAGAGCCGAGGATGAATTGTGAGCGTCGGAAGAACACTCCCTGTTTCCTGTACCCTGGAACAAAGAAGCTGACTGGATATTAAGATGTCTTGTAGAGAATCTGTCTTAAGAAAATAACGATTATGAAAGGTAAGGAAACCACAGATATGGAAAGATTCAGCCAGAAACTTGAGACACCCCTTTGAAAGAACAAGAAAGATCCGTGTTAAAAGAGAGCTAAAACCAGTGCAACTACATGATACTCATCAACCAGAGTTCCTTCTTAAGAATGAAAGATTTTAATGAAAATATACGCAGGGGACACAAGTCACGTACCTTTTCCAGCAGCTGGCGGAGCTGCCTGCTTTTGGCATCTCGGGAACAGAGATTTTGTTCTGGAGCCACCACTGTACAAATGCATCGCCCATCAGGGTCCTGCGCTGAGCTGTACACTTGCCACCCTTCTTTGGGGCTAATCTGAGTCTAGGGAAAACCAATAGCAAACACAAAACAGACTTTCACTATAGGTAAGGCGAAGACAGACTTGAAGTATCATAAGGAAAACTTTTATTATTATTTTTAAAAGAGATTTTCTTTCTGGTTCAATTTTGTTGTTGCTGCGGCTGCTGTTTTATGAGTGTATGTGTATGTGTGTATGTAGTTCTAACAGCCTCTGGCATCCTCAAGATCTCTACACCTTGTGTTTGAGACAGGTTCTTTCACCAGTCTGGAATGCCTCAAAGCTGGCTGGCCAGCCCACCTCAGTGATCTGTTAATCTCAGCTTCTCTAGTAGTTGTTTTCTATGTTAGTGCTGAAGATCAAATTCAGGTCATCATGACCGTATAGCAATTGATTTGCCTACTCAGCTACTTCCCTAACCTTTGTTTCTTTGAAGTTGGAAGAGAAAAGAAGATAAGCGATTTATATTGGTAGCAACTTCATTCACCTTCTTACAAGTGTCACTAACGACTTTTGTGGCCTCAAATTCTTCACTATTTACTGTCTGTAGATCTCATATCACTTTTCATACTTTGTGTAGTTTCTGGTTTGAACTCCCATGTTTAGGCACTGCTGCCTTCCACTTCCTCACACCTGACGGGTCTTTCTACATTAGGCATGCTACTTTTTCTTCACAAGAAGGATGTAATTGATAGTAATACTTTCCTGATAATTATCTGATGTCTGATATTTGGAAATAAAGCCCCAAATTATCTTCTAAAAACCCTACATTTTACATTCTTAATCACTGGACTCCTGGCTTAAAAAGCAGCATCCCAGTTCTGTTACAATCTGCTTCCTGTTTTCATTGGCAATTTACCTCCTGAACTCTCCAAACTATAGCAAAGTTGGTTTCTGTTTGCCTGATATGTTCATATATTCATCAGACATTGAACTGCATCATAAAGTATTGCCATTCACACAACAGTTGGCTTATTCTGTATAAAAATTTGAAATTTTCCTATCTTTCACACACACACACACACACACACACACACACAATCAAGTGCAAATAATGACATCCTTAGTTTTTCCTCACTATTGTCTTTTTTTTCCAGACAAACATCAGTCGATTTTCAAATAATATACACAGAAGATACATCTCTTCATTCTATGCTAGTGGAAGACTCTTTCCATGACTACACTTGAAGCTGCATAACCTGGAGATGTCTCTGTTAACAATATTGGATGTTTCAATTTTCTACCGTAATTTTATTCTGTTGTAGAAGAGAAGCTTTTAGAATGGCTCGGTGCAATTTCCAGACATTCATTGTCCTGTTGCTCAGAGCATTTATGTTTCTTTTTTCATTGAGCTTTTCTTTGAGTATTTATTTTCTTATCTGAAGAACGATGATGCCTTCGTGGATTCCAGCAGTTCACCTCCACTGACTTAATGACACAACCATAAAAGAATCAACAAAGGAGCAGGAAGTGCTTCCACGTTATTCTTTTCACAGAATGGGGCGTAGATTCCAAGTCTAATGTCCTAACAATTCCTGCCATAGACCATGTCATCTCATACAAAAAGCCAATACACAGGGTGCCTTGTGAACCTATATTGGGAGAAGCATAAACTATAAACTCAGAAAGCCCATAAAGATATCATAAGCCTTGTCCTTACGTTTTAATGAAAAGAATATGCCAACAGACCTGTCCTTTAGTCTCTTCATAGTTAACTGATTTTTTAAAAAGATAATTCCTACACTGTTTTTTATTCCTGAGAAGACTGACTTCTTAATACGACCTCTCTTTTTATATACTACTAATCTTTTCTAGTTCTTCTTCCTGAAATCCAGTCAAAGAAAAAAAGATGCTCTTAGAAAAATATATTGCTTAAATTAAGTAAGATATTAACCAGAAGTAGGTTATCAGTTTTAGTTGTAAAAGAAAAATTAAAAAATTGTCCATAGGATGAAAATAGAAATGACTTAGTGAAGTAGTTTTATCATTTAATTGAAGACTTAAGCTGAACAATGGCTTGGGGTTAATTTCTCTGGACATAGGCCCTTTGAGCTTCTTGTAACATTGAGCACAATTCTGAAATATGCCAGAAAATTAAAGCATGGCTCTAGAATAAGCTCAGCTTCTGGACAAAGGAGCAGGGCCATCCAATTATCATATTAAAATATTTTAACAGCAGTGCAAACAGTGATTATTAAGGCTGTCAGCATTTATACTGATGGCATTGGCTGCATCTTTATCTACAGTGCAGCTTGTCACACAGGGTCGTGTGGTGGTCATTCTCTGTGTTGACATAAATGGGAAGGGTGAGCAGAGTTTGATTTTCATTTAGTGTTTCTTGGAACTTCTTCCTGCTTAACAACAATAAAGACACAAGTCATATTTATACCTTCAATTGTCTTTTTCTAAGAATTACTGAAGAGCCATGCCCTTCTGGACTGCCGTACTTTGAATGATCTAAAGTATAAAAATTTCACCTTTGTGTTAAGAAAACCAAAGTGCCTAGGACTTTTATAGATTTTGATGCAAACCCCTGTATTTGGGACAGTGACAAAGAGAAACACTTTGTAAGTATTTCTAACACTCACTCTCTTTTAGGGTTCCCAACAAGCATTGAATAGACAACCAAAATAAAACCAACTGTGATCTCAGGTGGAAGGAAATATTTAGATATTTTTGGATACCCAGAACAAAAGGTCTGCTCCAATTCTGACTTATAATAACAATTATTCAAATGTCAGTAAAAACTCATGTACCAGGAAGATCAAGCATTTGTGGATCTCTAGCTTCTCTGGGAGAGAACTGCATAATTTATTGTCCCTTAATATCTTGATATTTTTGAAGTCTAGGTGATACCACTCTGAGCAACCTCAGAACCAAAAGGAGCTTTTCCATAGACACACTGGGAATAATCATTAAAATTAGGGCATGAGCTTGTACTATCTGATCACAGAGCATGAAGCTTAAGCACCATATTGAACTCTCAATTATTTCAGTTTCCCTTAATACAAGATGCTGCTACCTCAAGGCAGCATCTATTTGTACTATGGTGGAGCACAGTGGTTGGACCCAGAAAGTGAATACAGTTGATCATGAATGGCCCACAGCACCCACACAGAGCAGCCTTACTGATATAGCTCTCTTTGAACTCTTTGTGTTAATTAGAAGAACTAAATGAACTATTTAGCAGTTTTTAATATTACAACACTCATGAATATTTAAGGATGCACTAAATAAGAGAATTAAAACAATCATTTAACAGTTGTATGTGGTCTGAGTTCTTTGATTGTAGTTTTATTGCAGATCTATGCTTTATAAACATAAAGATACCACCTGAGAATTGTCCTGAACCATGGAGATTTGTGTCAGGAAAGATGTATCCTGAGAAGCAGGAAAAGAAGATCAAAATACATTGCATTTCAGTAGGGTTTCCTTATAGAATACCTTCTCTTGTAATTGCATTCATTTCTTTGAAATCAATTGCTCCTAGAAACAGCCAGTGTTTTAGATTATATGGAAGCCACAAAGTAAAGAACGTAGAGCATTTTTTTCCAAGTCACCATTTAGTATGAATGTGTACATTTTCTGCAACTTTCAAGCCAGAGTTCTCTACGTTCTTACTCTACAGAGAGACCATCTATGCTCCTGAACTGACAGTCAAATGCAGGACTGTAGAGGAAACATATCCCCCAGCAGCTGATTCTCAGCAGGCTGGGGCATTACTTCTTATGGAGATGTGACCACCGTGACCCCAGAGAAGCAGTAAGGTAAGGGCAAATACACTACTCCCACAAAAGGGACTGCAGTCATTTCCAGGGCCCAGGCAACATAGAAGGCCAAGGAAAGGATTCTACACCTTTGAATAGAAGTAATTGGCAGGTTGAATATTATTAGATTTTGCTACTCATGTTCAGTTTGTAGGTATTTCACAAAAATTTCTTTAGACCAATGAAGAAAGAAATGAAGGATCAAAATATAAAAAGGGGAATCTGACATGGGAGATGTGTGGAGCCCACGTGTGACTCAGTTTCCATCTGGAGTAATTTCTGACTTAAAGATGCTATTTGAGTTCAATCATGCCTGCTCTGCTTTTTTTTTTATAACCTTGAGGGCTGTGAGAAACTTCTGATTTAGCCCGTGAGAAAAGAACACTCTATTTAGCAGACAGCACACTGCTGACGACAAACCTCAGAAACATCAGGGCAGAAAGCTAGGCTGCTTCTGGGCAGCAAGTACATGTTGGAGAGGAGGCTGCTCAGTCAAGAACAGGAATGGTCTTGAGGTTAGATACTGACTGATCGTCTGTGCTGTGCTTTGTTCTGCTTTTATATATAAGCAAACTCTAAAGTAAGCTCGGGGCTGTTTGGCTGCTTCTGCATGACCAGACAGACCTCCTGATTCTATCCTGTTTTCTGTTTCTTCTGACTTATCTTTGACCTCGAGGATCCCCTATTCAGGAACCCTAGCTACGTAGTAGGAGTCAGCTCCTATAAAGATGTAAAGTAGAAAAACATCCCTTCATCAAAACCGAGATTTCAAAATGATTCTATTCGAGTGACGAAACCCCCACAAAAGTCCTATCTAGGGATGCTTCTGGTTCCAGATAGTAAAGTGGGGAGGAACATATTAATGGTTTTGGTTGAAAAGAAAGGGAAAATGTGAGGGTAAGAATTAAAGAGAGGTTGAGAGATCACGCTTGAAGCTATGCTGTGATTGGTGCTAATAAAGATGTCACTCAGTGGCAGATTTCTTGGTATTACAAGAATCTTTGGGACTGAAATAAGTAAATATTCTTCATTCAAGGAAACCTCCAGGCTTTAAGGTGGGAAAAAAAACCTTTATCCATGAAAATAAAACCAGTGATAGAAACAGCAAAAATAACCGTTTTAGGGTGGTCAACTGTCGACTCTGTCTATGTTGCTTGTAAATCCTGATTTGTTGAGAGTTGGAAAGGTCCTTAGAAGTTTTATTTCATCACTTCCTTTTTATTCAGTGAAATTTCATGCGGATATCTTTGTGCTTC